TTGCTGCCTCAAAGGCTTTTCATCTGTAATGTGCTCTCTAATGACGTGGTGAGATTCAGGTCAAATGTTTAAGGAATTTCATTTGCTGCCTAGTTTCTTGAGTTTGCTAAACACTGAGCTTAGATGTGATCTTGATTCTACTCAGTTTGTGACCAGCTAAGTATACGATACAATAATCTCTTTCACACCATAACCAGCCCTGGCTGGAAGACTTAATATAAAAACTTAGCCAAAACTCCATCTCTGTCCTCTGGTTCTTTCTCCGAGGGACCTCGAATTCTCTTATCCATTCCAGCTCCCTTTCCTGAGTTTGGAGCACAGTGTGGCTGCCTCTCACCTCCGAAGTAGAATCTGTAGGGGCACCAACAGCAGTTGGTCCAATGTCCGAATGATATCTTGGCCAAATCTATGGTTATGCAAAAGCTGATTTCTGTGAAAATGTAATTGAGCTGGTACACACCTCCACCTGATGGTCCACACCAGAGGTCAAAACTGTGGCCCACAATCCAAACAGTACATAAATGGGTTTGATTAGCACTTGCCCTTTTTAAATGCTTTGAGTTCTGACGCCTATGAAGCCATTTCAATTTGCAATCTCTGCCTTACACTTGTCTCTGGCTCTGACCTCCAGAAATAAGCAGGTACAAAACAATCAGGTAGTAGCCTTAACTTCTTCCTTCCCCTCATTTCTTCTCACTATTTAAACAAGACAGAAAGGTAATTGAATTCCAGTTACAGCTGTCCTTCTAGTTTGTTGTATAACCTTAAGCAAGCGAGTCTGTCTCTGGCCGGTGGAGTAGAAGTTTTCTAACCAACTGATAGCTGGACCATGTCATAGTGAAACATTAAAATTAGATGTTAGCGAGTCCTATAAAGTCCTATAACAAGTCCTATTTTGTACGTAGTTGTAAATAGGCAAGGACTCATATTTCCCCACTTTACAAGTACAGAAAATTGCTGCGTAAAACTGCTTAGTAGACAGTGATAACTCCATGTGGGTGTTTGAATAAACTTGTGCTTTCCTGACATCAATTCCTCTTTCTTGGAGGGATAAAGAAACATGGTATTGTTAAGTATTGCTTGGGACTTTTCCTCTCCCTGTTTTCTCTGGTATCACTGTACCGGAAGTTGAGAGATCTACCCACGTTCATCTGCTTATATTGTCTGTGTGTAAAATGGCAGCCCATTATGGCAGCAACCCTCTACGCCCACGAATCATCCCACTGCCTGACAATCCCCCAGTGCTAGGGCTGAGTACAACATCAGCCATAATCTGCCAAAATTGGAATGTACTTTTACTTTTATCTGTTTTGTTTGTGTTATATAAAATTGTGTTATATAAAATTGGAAAATAATGTACTTGAAAATAAGTATCACTATGTTTGACATAGAATAGGGTCCCCAACTGTATTTTTTTAATTGGGGAAGGAGATGGTCCTCCTACTCTATTCAGGCTATTGTAAGAGACAGCTATAAATTAAGTGGTTATAAGCAACACAAGTTTATTTCTCACTGTTCTGGAGAGTGGCAAGTCCGAATCCAAAACCAAAGTGCCATAGAGTTCATTTCTGATGAGGGCTTGCTCTCTGTGCCATAAATGGTATCTTCTAGCTACATCCTCACACGGGGGAAGGGGGAAGGCAGCTCACTCATGTTTCTCTTAAAATGAAACTATTATATTATTACTAGTGAGGCCTAATCACCTCCCAAAGGGCCCTCCTCCTAATACTATCACATTGTTAATTAAGTTTCAGGGTACGCTCAGGGTGGGAACATGTTCCTTCAGACCTTGGGCGTGGGGCTGATATAGCATTATCAGAAAAAGTAAACCCCCTTATGGTGGCATCTTCTATAAGGGACACATATTTTTGAGAACTCTAGGCATAAAAGTCAAGTAGAGAAATCATAACCGAAGTATATAATAACTAGAAAGTGTTGTTTTTAAAGATATTTTAAAAGTACAAGTAACACAAAAAGAATAATGTTAATGTGTGTGATCTATACTTTTGGTACCTTGTTTTTAAAAATAAAACAAAGTCCAAGGACTGCATTATACAAAAAAGAAAAAAAACTACCCACACTAAATTTATTATGATATTCTTCAATATTTTTATTTTTAATGCAATTTCATGTCTTGAATCCATATGGGATTTTGTATGTGTGCTTTGTGAGGTAGCACAGAAATTCAGATTTTTGAACATGGAAAGGCATATTATTCCGGCAAAATCATCTTTCTTACTACCAATGATTTTCACTGTCCTCTCTGTTTTATCTGAACTACTCATATGTGCATATAAAAACTTCTGGGTCCGCTTCTATTTCATTAATTTATTCATTGATTCCCATCACAATATTGTACTGTTTTTAAATCCCATGATTTTATCAGTCATTATAACTGGTTAGACAAATTCTCCCTTGTTATTTTCTTTCTTTGGGTTATTTTGTTTTTTGCTATTTTATTTATTTCATTTTATCCCCCTAGCAATTATAAGAATTCTAATCTTTCTGATGAATTCTGGAATGAGTCTATCAAAAACCACCAAAAGATTTTTGGGATTTTTTTTTTTAATTGAAATGACAATCTATCTTCATTTAGTGAGAAGTGGCATGCCTAATATATTATACTTTCCCACCAATTAACTTAGTACCTTCCTCCACTTAGTAGTCTTTCCTGTTCTTCAGCAAAGTTTTACATTTTTCCATGATAAGGTACTTTGGCAAGTTTTATGAAGCTGACAAAAGAAAGATTAAGCCTTATTCTCAAATGAAAATTCTTTATATGCTAACTATTATGCATACCTTTGTTCCAAAATTATCTTGTAGCTTGTTCTTGGCTGGTAACTAGTGACATTTAGCCATGTTGCTTTTGTCCCCTATAGTTGAGATGCATTAGTTAGCTTCCCTGCACCTGAGATTAAAATACTTGACACCTGTAACTTAAAGATCACAAGACATTTATTTTGGCTCACAGTTTCAGTGTGTTCAGTCCATGGTAAGCCAACAGGAAAAGCATGATGAGAGTTTCTGGTGGAGAAAAATTGCTCTCTCATGACATCCAGGAAGCGTAGAGAGAGGAGAGGAGCCAGGAACAAGCATGCACACTTCCAGGTCATGTCCTGTCTCTTCCAACCAAGAATCACTTCCACACAGTAGGCAGCTCTGAACTTGTCAGTAGAGTAATCCACTAAAGAGTATAGGTTCCCCCATGATTCCATAATCTTCCAAAAGACTTTTGGGGGACATTTTAGATTAAAACATAACAAGGAGCCAAGCTGAGATGCTGCTTTCCTTTCATGGACTCATTAGAGTCTTATTCTTTCCTTGGACCCTTGTTCTTTGACCCTCCTTTTCATACTGAGCTTTTTCTTGTTGAACTCTTCTTTCCAGAATGCTGCATGGCTATACTTCTCATTCTCTCTCAAACCTGAATTCTTTTTCTCTATAAAAACAATATGACAGGGCCAAGGATTTAGCTCAGTGGTCCTGCTGCCTGCCTTGCAAGCACAAGGTCCTGAGTTCGATTCCTGATACCAAAAAAATGAATAAATAAAACAATATGCCATAAAGTGGCAAAGGAAGAGGCATATTAAACCCTTTTTTGTGAAGAGATTCACTTTTTACTTAGTATACAATATAGAAACGAATCCTCTGCCACACAGAAGATATAAATGCCACAGCATTTCCTGTGCACCTATGAAAGATCCCTCCCAGAAACAAACCCGGACCTTTGTTGATAAATAGTGAATGGACACAAATATATTTCTCATATCTGTTATGGCTTGTGTCTAGGTGTCCCTCCAAAACCTCATTCAGTCCTAAGTGGAGCTTTTTCAGAGGTGGCTGGATCTAGAGTGTGTAATGCTGAGATTGATTCATGGTGTATTGCTAGGTTCAAGGGAACAAGTATTAGGGTGTGTATGCTACCTGCCCCAAGTAGCCTGGGTAAGATATAAGGGATAGCAACTGTGGTCATCCCTTGATTGCTTGCTTTTGCTGTTCTCTGCCTGCCATGAACTGTTTCTTTTCTGTGATCCCCTTCTTCCAAACCAACCTGCCTTGCAGCCAGTTGATTATGGACTGAAACCTCTACAAACGATGAGCTACATAAACTTTTCCACCCTTAACTTGTGAGTGTTGAGTATTTTGTCTCAGCAACAAAAAAGAGTAACTAAGACAATGTCATCCTTTTAAGATCAACAAATTTTAAGATTATGAGGAGAATTCTTTAGCATCACAAAAATACAGAATATCCCAATGGTATCAATTGTTAATAACAACGCCTTCTCTAGAATGAGCCCCAGTTCCCTCTTCCTTCTTCTTGCCAATGACCAAGTTTACAGGTACAAATTAATTCCTGCTTTCTCCTCACTTTCCTCCCTGTTATTCTTCCCACAGAAGACGTTTCTCCTCTGATTACCAAAAGGAAAGATGTCATTGTATTGTTCAGTCTCCCCTCGCTACAAATTAAGTACACTGCTAAGTTAAAGGAAGCTCAAGGTCAGTGAGAGGACTGAAGGGTCAGAGGCATCAGTGTCAAGACCCTTGGGTAACTGCTGCTGAGGAGTGAGTGGAGTCATGGTTCTGTCAGACATCTGCAAACATACAGACACTTAGTAGGGTTGTTTACTGAAGGGCATACAGGTTAGCTCTTTTTAACATAATTTATCAACTCAGTTTATATTTATGGCTTATAGATTTTAGTAAGTGCCACAAGTCTTAATTTTAAAATTGAAACGACAAAAGAGGACATTTTCCTTGGCCTCTGCTTTCTCTTTCTTGTTTCTCCAGTTGATGTGATTATCCAAGGTGCTCTTTGGCCACATCCCTCTTAGGGAATTGAAGAGCCTTCTGATTGAGTCCTGGCTAAGTGAGCTTGCTCTTTGGCTAAGAACATATTTTGCAGATATTAAACAAGATTTTATGTTCAGATGTGGTCACATTGATTTAATTTCTCTTGGAGGGAAATGCATCGCTAATGATCACTTTGTCTCCAATTGCAGATTACGGTATTTCGGATGGGATCAGAAGGACACCAGGACATTGATTTAGCCATCCTGACAGCTTTACTCAAAGGTAAAAGAGTTTTGGCATCCACAGAGTACAAACATAATTTAAATGGGTTAACATAACAATGTAGTCTCCTACTAGTAGCTATAATCCCAAATGTTACCAAGACATCCAATTAGCAACAACATAGAATCTGTTCTGCAAGTTATTCTTACTGCTATTAAATTCTTCTGGAACAGACCTGTTACAGTGCGACCTGATTGTATAAGGTTTAAGTACACTCTAATTCGAGTCATGTCCACTGCATCGTAAAAATTTATAAAGAAAATGTTGACAGAAGTTATCTGAAATTACTTAACAATAAGTAGGAGCTTATTTACTTTTGAAAACCATTTTCCATGGCAGGTATGTGTATGTACAACATGTATACATAATAGTAAAATTTGAAAATCAAAAATCATTGGGAGGAGGAATAATCCAAACAAATTAAGCTACTATACTTACAGTAACTGAGCGTTAAATTTAAGGTAAAAATAGATTACCCTGGGATTGGGAAATTTAATGTATAAAATGGATATCTATCCTGTTTACTTGTCCCAATTTTACTTCCTGTCCTCCTATTTGGAGCCAAGTCCAAGAGAAGCGCAGTTTCCTTCAGGTTCTGCAGATAAAACCTCATCTTTATGTGCCTTAATGACTGCATTTAACTAGTAATTTTTCATGTGAAGCGCAAGTTGCCTCTTTTTAGTTCTAAAATCCAGGCTGGACCTGTAAGACAAAACAAAACTACAAACCTTGTCAAATGTGGTTCTTCTTTAGAAAGACCTAAAGTTTGCCCCGTAGTCTGCCTCCTGCGGCACTTGTCACTTGGCTGGTCATTCCTGGTTTGCAGTCTCCCTGGAATCAGAACTACGAGAGCAGGGAATATGCCTCGTCTATCGCTCCACTCTCAGTACCTCACACAATCTCCAATTCATGGCAGCATGCAATCCAGTGTTGTTGAATAAAGAAATCAACGTATCTCTCAATGGTTCAGTGATAGATTCAACATTCCAAAATTAATACTCAGAAAAACATCTGTCCAGTTCTATTTTCCAATCTACCCACTCTTCTTCTACTACTGTTTGCTTGACGATCTATCAAGTGGTAGCCACTGAGGTGAAGTCTTTACAACTACTGTGAACATTAATTATTGCAACAACCGTAAGATGTAGGAGATACTCTTCATCCCATTTTATGGGTGGAGTAAGCAGTGCCACAGTAATTCTGTAACTCAGTAAAGGTTACAGTGCTACTCAGTATGCTGGGAATCAGGTCAAAGCACGAATAACTTGTCACTATCCCAGTATGTGACCCCTTAGACAATAATATATGCGCATTCATTCAGAACCCTAATCACACTTCAGGAGATTCACAGTCCCATAGGACGTGGCAGAAATCCCAAGCCAAGGACCTCTACTCTAAACCATCTCATTTCAGTGAAGTAGAAAATACAAACCCTGGGCAGCAGAATTAAGAGACCACAGACCGTGCGTGGACTGAAGCACAAAATATACTCTGGCCCCACTAACCCTTTAGCAGAGACAAAAAGTTGAGGCAAGTTGCTCTCTGATATCTCTTATAAAGTTGAGAAAAGTAATAATATTGGTAATTAACATTTACTGAGGGCTTGTTTATGCCAAATACTGTGTTGGATACGGTGTATATAAATTCATTTATTCTTTACAGCAGTTCAATTATCAGTCTATTATAAACTCTGTTTTATAGATGAAGAAATTGAATCATAAAGCAATTTATATATGTGGCTGAGATGAGTCGGCCAGTGTATGGGAGGCCAGTCCAACCTACAGCCCTCCCTTATATGTACCACTAAGATATCCCTGTAGCTTTGATTATAAGAAATAATTCACCACATTGTGACCCTGAACAAAACTCATAGCAAGTACTGTAATCCCAGAACTCTGGAAGCTGAAGCGGAAGGGTTGCCACAAGTTGGAGGCCAGACTAGACTACATAGTAAGATCTGGTCTTAAAAAAAACAAACAAACAACCTCTTAGCAAATGGGGAAGTGATCCAATTGTCAGTGAAAACAGAGTAGCCATCATCTAATGAAAAATTTTCTTTCTCTCTCACTAATTTGTAAGACTTTAAATTAGGTTTTTGCCTTTGGATCAGTCTTCAAACTGATTTTTGTATTGTAGAATATTGCACATCTTTTTGGGGTAAGACATATCAAACAATGTATCATAAAAATACGTTTCACTTCATAACCAAGTAGTAATATAATTGAAATTAAAGTACTCAAAATAATGTTTACATGGACAGTTACGCAGTGAATTGAATATTTTCCATTCTAATCTATTCCACTCTCTTAAATGCTGATTGTAGCTCACTAAATTGATTTCCTGATCCACTAATGGGTCATAACCTACTGTTAAAATACACTGCCACAGAAGATGAAAGGAAAGTATAATTGCTCTGAGAAATTAGCATTTATAATCACTGTAATGAACATTATGCAGCAGTTGATACTACTGGGAATTTATGCTATTAAAAGATTATGGTGTGGCAACTGCATTTTTGCAAAAATACTCTCAGATATTGACTCAGTTGATCCACAGATCAACAGGTATCAAGCATAAAACTTTTGCTGACTTTTTTTGGAGGCCAAGACTATACATTCTTATAGCAGTTTCAGATTCTTAGGGTTTTTATATTATTCTTCCTATGTGTTTTACTTAGACATGTAACATACTGTAACACTTAACTTTTACAATTATAATTGATTCTCAATAATTCAATGTACAGGAAATCTTTGTAAAGCTCAGTTTTTTTTTTTAATTGAGTTTATTGGTACATTTAGGGATACAGTACAGTTACATTCATTGTTGGGATCATGTACCTTTACATGGCAAGTCTTGATTCTCATTTTTTCCCCTTACCTCTGTAAAGCTCAGTTTTTATTCTGATACACTGGGGATGTTTCTGAGAAAACTAGAAGTTTGAAACGATAAGGAGAGAATCATAAAGCTAACCGCTAGTCCAAGAATCCAGAAGCCAAAAGTAATTCAAAGACAGATGGAAAACCAAATGGCCGTGGGGAAATAAAACTTCGCTGTTCCTTATTTCCGATCCTATTGGATTTGATTTTCTTGGACCTGTGTATTAGAGAATACTAAGGGAAACAACAACCACACAGCCCCTACGATGTAAGAGGCTCAGACTTCCTTTGAATGGTGGCCTGGGTGTCCCTCACATTAAGGTATCCACTCCCCAGAGTAGCAGTCTAACCAGAGAAGGCACACACGTCCCTCCGCGCCCCTCCCCTCCATCTGCATGCACACGCACAGGGTCGGATACACAGGATGCCCAGTTAAATGAATTTTCAGATAAATGACAATTACCTTTTTAACCTGAGTATGTCCCAAATTTACACTAAAAAAAAAATAGTTCATAATTTATCTGAAATTCAACCTTAACTGGGAGTACTGTTTTATTATTTGCTAAACCAAGCTATCCCATTCAGAGATCTGATACCATTAACACTTCTAGACTTAAGACACCATGAGAGGCTCTACAAGAAGATGAACTCAAACTCTAGGGACGTCCCCTAGTCCCTCTACCTGCCTCCTTTTCTCACCCGGACCTGTCTACAACAGAACTTCCGGAACTTGCACTCGGGAGGACACAGGATTTGTAAAAACATAAACATCCGGGTGATCTCTCCGTAGCATCATCCAGTCTTCGTTCCCCACAAAGCAGCTACGCCTCTGGCTCCAGGTCTAAGAAAGCCAGAAAACATCTGCTGACAGCCAATGAAACATCCCTATATATATAAATATATGTATATTTATATCATATATATATATATATGATATAAATATACATATATATAAATATATCATATATATATGATATATTTATATATATGTATATTTATATCATATATATATATATATGATATAAATATACATATATATAAATATATCATATATATATGATATATTTATATATATGTATATTTATATCATATATATATATATATGATATAAATATACATATATATAAATATATCATATATATATGATATATTTATATATATGTATATTTATATCATATATATATATATATGATATAAATATACATATATATAAATATATCATATATATATGATATATTTATATATATGTATATTTATATCATATATATATATATATGATATAAATATACATATATATAAATATATCATATATATATGATATATTTATATATATGTATATTTATATCATATATATATATATATGATATAAATATACATATATATAAATATATCATATATATATGATATATTTATATATATGTATATTTATATCATATATATATATATATGATATAAATATACATATATATAAATATATCATATATATATGATATATTTATATATATGTATATTTATATCATATATATATATATATGATATAAATATACATATATATAAATATATCATATATATATGATATATTTATATATATGTATATTTATATCATATATATATATATATGATATAAAAGTCACCCTCGATTTTTGCGTCTTTTCTTGTGGATCTTGGGTCCAGTGAACAGTCAAATCATATGAGCAGATACTCTTTCATTCACCCACATGCTCCAAAATGGAATAGGTCTAATCACTGTCTTCCTATATTGAGAAGTTCTTTGTCTGAGTTTAATCTTTATTGGTAAAGTTCACCTGAGGCATAAGAAAAAAGTAACCTGCGTTGTTGACTACTTTTTCTGTAAGACATTTTAAAAGCGCTGAAGGAGAGTGCAAAACATAGTAGTTTGCTTCTCAAAACTGTCAAGATTGGGTCAAGGATTTAGCTCAGTGGTTCCGCCACCTGCCTCACAAGTTCAAGGTCCCAAGTTTTTGATCCCCGGTATCCACCCCCCCCAACAAAAAAAAAAGTCGAGATCATCACATACAGGGAAAGTGAGAAATTGTCCAAGGCTGGAGGAGATTAAGGAGTTGTGATAACTAAATGCAATATGCTTTCCAGGAACAGAAGATA